AAAAATAGCTGAAAAATAGCTGAAAAATAACAAAAAAATAACAAAAAAATAGCTAAAAAATAGCTAAAAAATAACAAAAAATGGCTAAAAAATAGATTAAAAATAGCTGGAAAATAGATTTAAAAATCGCTAAAAAAATAACTAAAAATAGCTAAAAAATAGCTAAGAAATGGCTAAAAAATAGCTAAAAAATAACTGAAAAATATCCAAAAAATAGCTGAAAAATAGCTAGAAAATAGATTTAAAGTCGCTAAAAAATAACCAAAAAATAACTAAAAAATGGCTTAAAAAGAGCTTAAAAATTCGCTAAAAAATAACTAAAAATGGCTAAAAAATAACTAAAAAATAGCTAAAAAATAACTGAAAAATAGCTAAAAAATAGCTGAAAAATAGCTGAAAAATAGCTAAAAAAATAGCTGAAAAATAGCTAATAAATGGCTTAAAAATAGCTAAAAAATAGCTGAAAAATAGCTAAAAAATAGCTAAAAAAAATCTTAAAAAATGGCTAAAAAATGGCTAAAAAATAACCAAAAAATAACTGAAAGCGGCTAAAAAATAGCTGAAAAATAACTGAAAAATAACTGAAAAATACCTAAAAAAACCAAAAAAACCCAAATAAAACCAAGTTTCAAACCAACCAAAAAAAAAAAATCCGCTAAGAAACCGACAGCGAAACCGAACCTCGAGTATGGCTGGGGAAGGGGGAAACCGATATAAGGAACAGAAAAGTGAAATTAACAAATAAAAATAAATAAAATAAAAATAAATAAAAATAAAAATCAATAACAATAAAAATAAGTAAAAATAAAAATAAATAAAAATAAAAAATAAAAATAAAAATAAAAATAAAGTAAAAATAAAAAAAATAAAAATAAATAAAAATAAAAATAATAAAAATAAAAAAATAAAAATAAATAAAAATAAAAAAAATAAAAATAAAAATAAATATAAAATAAAAAAAAATAAAAATAAAAATGAAAAGGGGGTGAGAAGTTTTCTCCCCGGGCACTCACCGCTGTGCGAGTTCATTCTCTGCATCCAGGGGTAAATCTGGATCCCCGCTTTGTGCTCCTGCGCCGCCGCCGCCGCCGCTCGGTTCTGTTCTCCCCCAAACTCGTGCGCCAGAGAATTGGCAGCTCCGGGCGGGGGAACCGCGGGGCTTTGCCGGGTCCCTCCCGGAGCCGATTCTTTATCCGGGTAAAAAGGAGCCGAGGAATAATCGTAAGGAGAGCGGGACCCAAAAACCACCGAGCTCTCCTGGGCAGGGTAGAAAGGAGCGGCCGGGTAGAGGCGGCTCGGAGCCACGGGCGAGCCGTAGCCCTGCAGGTGGCGAACGGCGTCGTAAGGAGCGGCGTTGATGGCGACATTGGGGACAACGTCCTGGGCGCCGCCGAGGTGGCACGACAGGGACGCGTTGGGGAAATAGGAATTCATGGTAAGGGAGGGACG